TATTTATTTATTTATTTAGCATTTATATCCCGCCTATCTAGTCGAACAACCACTCTAGGTGGCTCTGCTAATGCACTGCACAATTGCTTGTATCAGGGATGTACAACCAAATGTGCAATCAAATTGTGCAATTTCCTGTTGCCAGGTGTAACACCCACGATATCTACAAAGGTGCAACTGTATGTTATGCCTTCATAAACAGGTTTTTGACCAACAGGACACCTGTCCAGACATGACCAGGCAGCCACAGGCATCAAAATTTACACTATTAGATCCTTGACAGTGACTCTCCCGTCCACACTTCCATGGTTTATCTCTCTTCAAATTATATCTGGGCATCAACTATAAGATGCATGATCAGGCCCTCTGCATATGGTAGTTCCTTCTCTTTGCAGAAACACATTTGGTTTGTGAAAATGTCCTTTTTTTAACAACTACCAAACTCAAGACTAAATAATTCTGTACAATTCCAGATATTCCCTCGCCTGTTAGCTGTTCTGATGGAGTATTCTTAAGAAATAAGTTTATTATAAAATCTTACCTAATTAATCTATTCTATTTTATTTTATTTTATTCAATTAAATGAACATTTCATAAGTTTGAAACTGGAGTTGATTTAACTCTTTTGACAGTCTCAAGTTCATTTAAGACATTCTGACAGTTTTAAGAATTTAAAAGAAGCTCTGCAAAAGGGCCAATACTTTTTTATACACAAAGGAATATACAAAGATTCCTATGAGTTGAGGCTAATGGTTTGTTGTTGTTTAGTCATTTATTCGTGTCTAGCTTCGGTGACCCTATCCAACCATCTCGTCCTCTGTCATCCCCTTCTCCTCTTGCCTTCACACTTTCCTAACATAAGGGTCTTTTACAGGGAGTCTTTTCTTCTCATGAGATGGCCAAAGTATTGGAGCCTCAGCTTCAGGATCTGTCCTTCCAGTGAGCACTCAGGGTTGATTTCCTTCAAAATGGATAGGCTTGTTCTCCTTGCAGCCTCAGCTTCAGGATCTGTCCTTCCAGTGAGCACTCATGGTTGATTTCCTTCAGAATGGATAGGCTTGTTCTCCTTGCAATCCAGGGGACTCTCAAGAGCCTTCTCCAGCACCACAATTCAAAAGCATCAATTCTTCGGTGGTCTGCTTTCTTTATGGTCTAAGCTCTCACTTCCATACATCACTACAGGAAAAGCCATAGCTTTGACAATTCAGACTTTTGTTGGCAAGGTGATGTCTCTGCTTTTTAAGATGCTGTTGAGGTTTGTCATCGCTTTCCTCCCAAGAAGCAGGTGTCTTTTA